GCTTTCTAACTCTCAAAATTATAATACACTTAATCCCACAATTCACACTGAAACTACAATATTCTTACCAAATAAGGTTAGATTTTAAATATAATAATATCATAATAATTTCGTTTGTTATATGAGAGAATGAAAGTTTAATGGCGGACGGCGGAGGACATTGTTGTCGGGTGGGGGGGGGGGGTGTTTTCATGATGAATACAAATAAATTGTAAATTTTAAATTACATACTTCAAATAACTTAATTAAATTGTTGTTTATTTATTATCTAAACTTTAAATATAAAGAAATTATAAATTTTTAAATCACAATTTATTCATATGCACTATGGTTTTTTTTTTTAAACAGCCCAAAAATTATAGAGAAACTTATGAGTGGGATAGACACAATTTTCAAGATGGAGGATCTCCGTTTGCGTTCAATTTGTACCATAGACTAATAGAGTTTCACGTGCCTGTGTTAAATGTTAAATGTAAGACACTGGCCTAATCCGCTAAGGGAGAGCCTTAATCAAGGAACTGAACCAAACTGAACTGTTAAATGCAAGACTGCTGCAATATCCAAGATAAAAAACGACTACATATCGAAGATTGCTTTGTATTTTTTAGCTTTAAATGAACTTTAAAGAATTAACTTTGTAATTAAAATTCCTTATTTATTGATATCAAAATCTACAACAATCGTATAATCTAGCAACATTATGTACAATACGTTTGAAGTTTTCAAGTCACTTTGTCAACAAAAAAAGTAATTTTAGGTTAGAATTAAGAGCACTGAGAAAAAACTTGATTTAAAACTGAGATTTACCAATGCAGGCCTACCTATTAACAAAATGTTATAGTAAATAACTGTAACGAATAAAAGAATATTGCAATATTTAAATATACTATACTATATATTTCAAAGGACTAAAAACTTAAAATGCAATGCATTAAATCTTTAATTTCAAATATACGGCAGTACCAAGTGTCCCCCATTCTTTATAAGCGAGTAATATCTGTTGCAAAGTGGAAAACTCCCATAAGATTTTATACTGTACAAGATGACGACTCAGGTAACCACATTTTATATTTCTAATACTAGAAGTCCTCTCCCTTTATATGACCGTTCTTACAGGTACCGACTAACCTTTAAATTGTATGCAAATTGTGTAAAAATTTCAATTTTTTTTTATACTTTAGGCTCCTATTGCAATTTGCAAATAATTCAAAAAAGCTACAATTAGTATCATTTATAAATAAAACATCCTAATTTTTTCCATACATTGTTTTTTTTTTCAGAGATAATAAATGATCTATGCAAAGGTGATGCAGATTTAGAAAAACGACTTAAAATTTTGATGTTGGAAGTGGAAGTGATGCGTCAAGATGGTCGTCCAGCTCCAAGCATACTACGTAAACATCACTGGGAACATATACTGACTCTTGCAAGCAGAAACCAAAGATCAAGCTATCTAGTATACCTATGGAAAACACAAATGGCAAAAGAAAATGAAAAGGTAAACAAAACACAAATATAATAATTAAAATATATTGATACAGGAAATTCCACTATTTGATTCTTTTATATGATATATATATTTATCAGCTTATGTGATTTATTTATAACTATGAAAGGAAATTCTAAATTCAGATATTCTAAAATTTTCATAAAATGTGTTTTTGTAGTTCTGGTGTTAGAACTTTATATACTAATTTTATAGCGGCCAAAATCTGTTCACTTATGCAATTACTTTAATAATGGACTCTACTATTACCATGTTATAATTTTTTTTATATTTTAATAGGCAAAGAAGGAAGCAAGAAGAAAAGAGATGGCACTAAAATCTGAGCAAGTGGTGGAGAAGGAGTTTCCAGATGACCTCATATATGGAATCCAACATCAAACTTTGTTTCTGCGAATTCGTGACCAGTCAATTAACCAGTTCGATAATTATAGGTAAGGTATGTTAACAATAATGACAATTATTTCATATAAGGGCTATATAATACATCATTTGGATAGAATATAACATAGAGACATTGATAATCATTCCTATGTATGACATATATATGTAACAACAGAGCTTATTACAATTCTGTGCAATGTTTTACATGTCAATAAAAGAAATGAATGAAATTTTATAGTCATATTAAATATAATACATTACTATTTAATTAATATTTTACAAATGTGATTTCTAGAGCACTTCAAGCAATGATGTGGGGTCAACCAATAGTTATAGATTGCTCCTATGAACAGAACATGGTGTGGAGAGAAGCTGTTAATGCAGCCAAACAAATGACATTCGTGTTTGGAGAGAATAGAATTCATAAAGAGCCATTCAACATTCACATGTGTAATGTAGACTTAGAAGGCCATTTTATGAAACAATTACGTAAGAATATTCCATCATTAGAAGAGCCATGGTTTCCTCTAAACATTCACACCAAGAGTTACTTAGATATTTTCCCAAAGCAAAAGCTGGTATATCTGACACCACACTGCAGAGAAGAACTGACAACATTTGATCATGACACCATCTATATTATTGGATGCATGGTGGATAAGGTAAGTTGTTATTTAACATCTGCATTCTTTAGATTATATCATTTTCATAAACAATTAACTGAATTATATTTCAGATAAACACTGAACCACTTTCGCTAGCCAGAGCAAAACGAGATGGATTAAAAATGGCTAAATTACCTTTGGATAGGTATATGGAATGGGCGCCCGGCGCAAATAAAAGTTTGAACATAAATCACATGGTCCCAATTCTATCAGATTTAAAGGTATCAGGTGACTGGGATCACGCGTTACGTCATGTACCAAGAAGAAAGCTCATGGAAACCAAAATAATGGCTATGCAAAAGAAGATTAGGAGCAATCCACTAGCCAAAGAAGAAATATTTAAAAATTTCAATATGATCAAAGACAATAGAATACAGTCATTCAGAAAAAAGCGTGTAAAATCTAAACAATCTTTGTTGTATGATGATGATAGCATATAGAAATAAAAGGTCAATAATTTTTTTTGTTTTTATTTCTCGTTAAATCTTAGTAAATAAACATATTCCATAATATTTGCAAAAGAAATCCCTAAACAATAAATGTTTAACCTAGATTTGTACAATATCAAATTATACTTCATTTTTTATTAACAATTTTGGTATGTACAACAAACTTTAATCTATTATAAATGTCACTAAATAGTCCTAACTAGTGAAGATTGATGAGATGTAAATGTTCTTTATGTGTAAACATTGCAAATGATATTGACGAAGAACTAATACAAAATTATCATCGTTAAATATTTTCTTCAAATTTACTAATATTTAAATACACCAAGTATTAAATTGATTTTTTTATAATTATATTAAATGAATTACGCAACACGAATGTTTTTTTTTAAATTATTAGCACACAATTTTTGTGTGTAAATTTCGTGAAACTATGTTTGCAATATTACATTTATATCTTTACAATCTTCGTTCATCTAGTGACGTACATCCATACATCTACCTACAATTGCACACGATTTTACTCTAAATATGCCTTGCATATTTAAAACATACTATGTGCTATATGCTTCATGCATTTTATGTATACAAAAAATCAAAATACATAATGTCAACATTAATATTATGAAGAAAAAAAACCGTTTTAGATTCTATTATAGATCTAACATGATCTGCTATAATAAGGCGGTATGCAAAACGCACTCCAAGTATATCAACACAATCCTAACTTGAAAATGATTAATTACGAATTGTTAACATGATTTCTTATTGTGCAATTATATGCAAACTAATTATCTAATTGTTTTATGTACTCAGTGTATTTATAAAGATGTGCGTTTATAATTTTAATGTTAGCACATGTTATGAAAGAGAATGTATAAATGCAAAAAGGAAAAAATATTGTACTTATGGTGGAGTTTCAGAAAAAGTGGTAAAGTGTTGCCAGGTAAAGGAAATATCTGTACAAATAGTTGCTGGAAGTAATTAGGCCAGCGTTAGCATAATTTTAGGCTCTTGAAATATCGGGAGATCCAATTACAGATGTGTTACACCTTGAATTTGTCTAGTCAGGGGTAGGAAGGCACGTTTGCTTAAAGTTGATGTAGAAACCTTGTAGGTCCAGGGCCTCAAACCTTTAATCACCAAGTGATCCACTATATTTCTAAAACGAAAATTATAATGAATAGACGCTAAAAACCTAATTTATGTTACTTTTTCTACTTTACTCTTTTGAGACTGTATTTATACAAAAATAATTTCTCTCGATTTTAAATCTAAACCGAACTTGTGATTCATTTTGACCCGCGACCAAGAATGGTACCGACTCCCGTTTTATGTATTGCCGTCAATGTTCAATTGGCATCGAGTTTTGCAGTTTGCATTGTCAATTCAGTGTGTAATCACTAGATTTGTGTTGATACGCATGTCAGGTTAGCGTGTTGTATGAGATCGCGTGCACTAGGCCGGGGGCAGCTGGCGCATGTCGACGTCCGCTGCCGAAGCGGCCGGAGGAGCGGCTGCAGCAGGGGTGCGTTGTTTGATCGAGGCGAGGATCTCCTGCAGGTTGGAGGGCAGCGCGATGTCGGCCAGCGGCATCGCACTCGCCGCACCACCCACACCCGCCTCCACTTCCGGCGGCGTCATCGGTCGCGACGGAGAATAAGCTTCCTCCTAAACAAACAGAATTTACTATTATTACAAATCAAATCACGACACAATACTGCAGTTGAAACTAATAACTACCGCATGATCCATGATAGATGAATCCGCTTGTGCCATCTTCAGAATCTGCATCTTCTGTTCTTCAATTTGTCTGTTGAGCTCCTCCATCTTGGTGCGCAGCGAGGAGGTGGCGGGCGCGGAGCCGCTGCTCGTTGAGGAGCCCGGGCTGTACGCCTCTTCGTCGTCTGCGGATGCTATGATATAATCAGAGATTTGATGACCACTCAAAAATA